GGCAATTCTTGTGCATCTTAGGCCGAGTTATAGAATAAGCAGTTTAAAAACTTCTAATCCCACATAATAAAAATATACCAAGAAAGTGGCAAATACTTGAGAGTTCTCATTTCCAACAACATAAGGCACGTTGTCCTTGCTAACAGCCACAGTTTTCAAAAGGTTGACAGCAGAGACATTGCACTGTCTTCTCAAACAGCATTACTAGCCACAACGGGAGTGAAGTTAGCAGTGCCTAGATCTCATTTAAAAGTAAAACAAAAGTAATGAATACTGTGCTCTCAGTTCCTACAGTGAGATTTCACCTAACAGGCTATGAAAAATGTCATTGTGACTCTGGATTTTCTCTTGGAAATGTTAAGCCTTATTGTCTAAGTCAGAGCTTTCCAAACTGTGTGCCGCGACACATTAGTGTGTCGGCGGCAGTGTGTAGGTGTGTCGTGCGAAATGCAGAAAATTTTGTGGAAGGGCACCGCGGAGCTCCCTTACTCGTGTCTGCTTCCCTTGGCCCCTCCCCCGGAACTGAATTACTGTGTCGCGAAATGATGCATGTCTAAAAAGTGTGTCACCAACATGAAAAGTTTGGAAAGCTCTGGTCTAAGTAGACAATTTACACTTCCTTCCTGGTGCCAGTCATTGCCCACATCCTAAATCTGGAAAAAGAAAAATCAATGGAATCAGAGTAATATTTTCAAGACTGCTATAAAATGCAGCTAAATGCTCAATATAAAACTTAAACAACAACTCAAGGACAGCCACCCAGGTCTGCTTGTCATTCACATGGTTTCCAGGAGGCCTGAAGACACCACTCAGCACGAGTCCCTGAACCTAGGTACTGTACGAATGCAGGGTAAAAGCTCCCCAGAGCTTTCAACCAAAAAAGACAAGACAAATGTGGAGGGTAGGAGAAGGATGCATGTACTGTTCCTCATATGTTACATGTCAGTATTTTAAAACTGAATTCCTTGCTCTTGCTTTTTCTGTAAAGGGAATGGGAAGTAGCATGATTAAAGAGAAGGGAAGCAGATAAGCTAAAAGCAGCCTGGAGTTAAAAATAAAGAAAGGAAGAGCAACATTAAAAGGGAGCATATTCTGCATCAAACGGCAGGCTCATTTGAACAGCGCTCTTGAAAGGCTTTCCAAAAACTTATCTGCACGGATTTCCCTTATGCTACCCAAAATATTGAAATGAACGGCACATTGCTTCTCTGTACCTTGTTGCTACAAATGAGTTACACATTCAGATCAAATCCAACCTTCCCAAAGGAAGCTCCAGAAAGAATGCTGCGTTCAAAGGGAAACCTGCACAATGTTAGCCTAGCATAGAGAACTACTCCTAGGAGGGCACAAAGTAAGTGTTTTCTTTTTCTTCTTTTACAGTTCTGACCACTTTGAAAAAGATCTTACATGAGAATACAACAGCTTGCAGGTGTTACATTCTTATGTTGAACAAGAATGCCTTAAGATCATTTAAGACCTACAACTATCAGATCTTTTCTATCGCTAATGTTCAATGATTCTTTAATTCTTAAATTCTGCCATGGCCAAATCCAGGTTCTGTAACAAAGCTGCCAAGAATGGCTTCAGATGTGAACCTGGCAAAAAAACAAAAAAAACCCAGAAGAGGGTTTTGTGGCTGTTCTTCTGTATTCCATGAGAAAGGTTTGCAGCAGAGGACTGGGATTTTGTCCATGGATTTAGGAAGGGGTCAAGATGGTTCAGAATTCAGAGTCAGTTGAGATAAATTTAAAAGACAAAAAAAAAAAAAAAAAAAAAAAAAAAAAGACTGAAAAGGATTATGGAATGAAATAAGGAAACTAATAATACAACATCCATTGTGTGGTTTAATTTGATACTTAAAATGTAATTACACAGTGCCCCATAGTTATTGATTTAGAAATAGCCGCCAAAACTGCATTGTAGAAATTTCTGGGAGAACACTGAAAGTGAAACAATTGGGATGCCTGGAAAAGGCTTCTTCCACAGTCCCGAGTTGTCTTTTGGTTTAACATTTCTGCTAGCATGATCAAGGATCAAGCAGTTAACCATACTGATACGAGCAGTCCTCATTAGGTTTTAAAGTTAACACACCAATGCATTAATAGGGCAGCTATTAATTTGGAGCTATTCACAGAATTATAAAACATAAGGCTAAGAGGGACTCTGGAGGTCAATTAGTCCAACTCCCTCCTCAAGGCAGGATCATGCCAGTCTAAATTATACCAGACAAATGTCTGTCTGACCTCCACTTAGAGAGGTTGTGAAATCTGAGTTTGGAGGAGTCCGTTTCCATGTTTAATCACCCTCATTGTTAGCAGGTTCTTCCTGCTGTTAGGCTCCATAAGGTGTCTACACTAAGGCAACTTGGGCAGTAGTAACTGGCACAGCCAACATGGTGGCCAACAAGTTGGCTGCTAGCATTAACACAGAGAGCCCTAATCTTAAGCAATCTATCCTCATCTCCATTCGCAACCAAATAGACCTCATCTGCCCCCACTGTTGACAACCATACTGAGTAATGTTGATGCTGTATTGGTCTGCCTTCTCTCTGCCAGCTTTCTTCCTGAGCATGATGGCTAGACACTTACTTCAAAAGCAGGGTGGATTCTGTGGCAATCCCTACAGCATCATCACCAAATAAACAGGATCTTCATTATAATCCAGTTGAAGGAAATGGCCTTTACATTTTGCCACAAAGGCGTGGTAAGCTCCAAGTCCCTATTTGTCAAAACATATGTCTGAAAGTTTGAATTTCTGACAGCTTTGCATATAACCAGCTGAATTAGCTAATATTCCACTCACTGTATTGTATAAATTGCATCAAATACAAGCACAGGTGCAATGGTTGTTTGTACTGAACACAGAGCAGGAGTGTTTCTTCTTTAAGCAGTACAAGGTTAAGTACTGATGCAGTGCTCTTTTCTATAAACCTCACACAACTCTTGTGTAAGGGCCAATTTACAAGAGACTTCCCCGTTATCGAAGATGGGGTGGGGGGGACAAGTCCACACCTGTTCTCATCGCTACAAAGCACTTGGTGCAGAGAGGTTTCTGATGAGCCAGGGCTCCTCTGCAACTACCAGTGCATTAGAAAACAGGACAGCAGCAGTTTCTCTACCAAAGCAGCAACAAAATAAGGTGCATGGTTTCTACTGGAGAGAAGATGGGTGGGGGGAGAGAACCACATTTTTTGTTCTACTATATATATATTTTTTTTTTTTTTTTTTTTTTTAAAGCACCCTATTTTTCATCAAAAAAAAAAA